GTTTTACATACGCTATTTGGACATTCCTTTGTTTTCGTGTAGTTAAGAAAACTCAATACAAAAAACCAGCTTTACTTACACTGTGAAAACTCTTTCAACCCAAATTTGTTTTTTGATTTCCTTGAATGTTTTTCTTCATTCTACAATGGATAACTCTAATCCGAAAATGCCTTTAAACCTGTTTTCCAGAGAGGGCGAAACATTATGTGGCCATGGCTTAGTCCACATAAAGTCAACACAACCTGCATTATGTGGACATCTTTTGTTCACATGTCCACTATAGTGACTGTAGGGCTGCGTCCGAATATTTCGGCTGTGGCTGCTGGCTGCGTCTGTGGCTGTGGACGCGGCTAAACGGCGGACGCAGCCAATGGATCATTCGGACGCGGCTACAAACCAATTTGTAGCCAGGCCAGCCAGCGCGCCTGCAGGTTGTATAATTAGTGGGCCTTTCAAGTCGACGCGTCCGTCCCGTGCACTCTCTAGTCCCATAGTTATATTTGTGTTGTTGGCTCATTGATGGGCCGAAAGGATGTATAAACTCAAAGAAATATATATATACAAAAAAAATGACGCAAAAGAACAAATTTTATGGCAACTTTTGAGGCTTGATATCGAGCAGGAAATCACCAGAGAAATTGCTCGGACACATCCTTGAAATAAAAGACTCTTGGGCTTCTTGGGCCGAATATTGGCGTATGCAGGTTTTGAGTCTGGGATGAACACAAAGTGGGGAAAAATCGGAACATTTTCAAATCTACAAAGGGGGAGGGATGGGCTGGTATCAAGAGGTCAGTAACTGCCAAAAAATATTAAATGTCAACAGTTTTCTTTAATGTGGTATTAAACAAGAAAACAAATATTTTAAGTAATTATATTATTATGTACAATCAATAAAATTATTCCAGCTGAGCAATATTACATAGTAAGTATACATGTGTATAATGTCCAGATAATTTTTTTTTAGAACATTTAAATGCATTTGCTTTGCTAACTATAGTGGCAGTTATTAAAACTGCAGCCATTCTTGATGTCCTTGAGGGCCAAGTTTTGATGGTCTGCTCTTAAAAGACCTTTTTCCTTCAGCAGCCATCTTGAGGGTTTTTTACCCATGCAGATCACTGTAGAAACAAATTATGCACCTCAAAGATGGCTGCATTGCAACAGATCTATTGCTTGAAATTAAAAACAAAGGGTACAAGAAACTAATATTACACTGGAGCATATTAGCAAACACTGATTCCTCTGAAATGTATAAAAAAGTATGAGACATATCCCTTTTTAGTAAAACTGTTTTTCGAGGCGCACTTTTTTTTAACCTTTAAATGTTTCATGCTTTTCCAGACAACTGAGGGTGCTGTTGCCGTGATGTCACTGTCGGAACACACTCTTCAAAGAACCCCAAATTCTGCTTATTAAAACATTCGTGCATAGTGTGCTCATTGTCTTACTGTTATAAATTGAAATATCAATGAACCAATGAAAGCAAAAGTTAAATTATCAAATAATTATGAATATTTACTTATTTCTATGAAAGTTTGGCAGTAAGAAGCCTTCCAAACAAGAACAAGAAGGACTGCTTTTGAGTTGAGTAAAGAGCATAGTTAGTTTCCTGGTCCCTCAGCCTTCCATTTTGTTCACTCATCAAATCAATCAGCTGATAACTTTTCTTCTTTTCTTGTGGTGGGCCATGGCATGGAGCTCCATGGTCAGGGCCACTTTCGCCAAATGCTGCTTCTTTGTCTGGGAATTCTTCATCAAGGGATGATACCAGGCATGGAGGGGTGACAGGGTCATCATGGGATGCTCACCAAGAATCTTGTCCACATCCTTAAAAAGACCAGAAGATGGGTCTACATAGTGTGTCACTGCTTTCCATCCCTGTTCCTATGGGAGGATGCTTTAATGCCTGGAGAGAAAAGTAGAAACAGGGCATGGATTATTCAAGTCATCAATCTTTTTAGACAAAAATAATTCAGTAAATAGTACAGGAAAGGGCTTGGTTACTGATAATTGGCAAAATGCAATTATAAAGCATGACTCAGTTTTGAAACCCTTTTTAGTGCTTCATAAATGTTAAAACAAATCTTGCAAGGGGTATTGGTCGCAATTATTTGATAAAGACAATGAGTTCAAGTAACGCCTTTAAGTTTGGCATGGTGCACCTGGTGGAGACTGCCAGAGACTGATGATGCAAGGTTTAGAGGGGAATCTTGGGGAGGGGGGTGGGGGTTGACACTTTCCCCGACAATTTTTTTTGCAGTTGTAGAGCCTCACCAGTTGGCAATGAAAGTTCAAATTATCAGCAAAAAGATCTGGAGAAATAATGTTTTTTTGTAATTCCAAGTGGAGAACAAATGAAAACGACTGTTTTAAATACAATATAGATGTACATGTACGTCCCCATTTCTTGCACTGAAAATTAAATTTTAAAAAATTGAGAGTGCCCCTAGTGCTGCTTGAGGTCCAATCCTGACTGATTCCGCAAATTCAACCTGCTTATATTCAAGGAGGTGTCAACCTTGCAAATGTGTCAAGAAATATCAGAATATCACTTTGAAGTGTCATATTTTTTTTTTAAGCTGAATGTCAAACCATGGTTGAACAGTGTTTTGTTGAGTCTTGCAACTTTATTTGCTTATAGGAATGGGGTTCTAAAGATTACCGATCACTGGATTTGGAAAACAGTCACATCAGTAATTCATAAATATGATAATCATGATAATTAGGGCATATCAGCAGGTAGGCTAGGCCTATGCGTCAATGTTAAAAATTGTGGAAAGAATGTTGCATTCTGATGCTGCTTTTTTCTTCATATATCATCTCAATGAACGTCAGTCATTGCAAAAATGATGAAAAGAGTATTAAGACAAAAATCTGAGATGGAGAAACATTTTCCAATTTTGTCAGGAAATGGGCCTAGCTAAAACCTGACTTAAAGTTAAACTAGCTAAGTTACTTAGAAAATGTTCTTGAGACCATACTAGACATGATCATGACTTCGTACACAACCGCTGAAGTAGCGTCAGATTGCAACATTGTTTCCAAAATTGTTAAAATTAATGTTTGTGCCTAAAATAATGCCCCCCCCCCCTTTGTGTACACAGCCTATTGTAAATGCACACAGAATGCAGGGACGTACCACGTCGCCGGCGCCGGGTACACACGGTACGTTGCCAAAATAGGCCCTAAATTTCAAATGTAGGCTGCAAGCCGTCATGTATGTAGAACCATTATTGCTACAAATGACAGAAAGTATTAAAAATTCCATTGGTCTAGGCTACTTACACTTAAAAAGATGGTTCTCCCCCAGCAGAAGCGCGTAGTAGTAGCGTCGTTAATACGTTAGGAGTTTTCGTCGCCATTTTGTTTTATGCCAGAAGTCAACTCTTCTTGTGTCTTGAAATTCGTGACGTTGAAGCCGCAGCAGCAGCCGCAGCCAACAATTCGGACACGTCTAGAAAATGGCCGCCCTTAGCAACACCGTAGCAAAAGCCGAAGCCGCAGCCCAAGCCGGTAATTAGGATACAGCCTAAGACAAAATCACACATATCCACACACACCACTCCTTGTAGATGGGGTTTATGGGGTACTTGCACTGTTCTCCTCTTATCCTTCTTCTTTAGAATTAGAGAAAGACCAGCTTATGGGGTACCACTGTTCCCTTTGTGCGAGTACCAGAGGTGGCAGCAAGTCATTTTTTGCAAGTCCAAGTCAAGTCACAAGTCATTGTTTGCAAGTCCAAGTCAAGTCACAAGTCATTAGGTCCAGTCACAAGTCAAGTCACAAGTCATTAGGTCCAGTCACAAGTCAAGTCACAAGTCATTTGGTCTAAACACAAGTCAAGTCACAAGTATCTTTGTCCAAGAACACGTCAAGTTGCACATTAATTTGTCCAGCTGTAATAAGCTAAAAGAACCTGGCGTCAACTTACGAGTTATTTTGAACATGCCTCCTTAATTCCCCTTTTTCAATGTGTTGCAATTACTATTCTTGTAGTTTATCACATATCTGTCGGATATTAGCCCTTTGTATACTTTAATAAATTTACTTAACATTGTAGAAATAAATGTTGAGATGACGTGAAAAAAAGACTTCACTCACTCGATTACATGTAGTATACTAACACTTTATTGTTCAGTTTTCATGTATACTAAACGCCGACCAATGGGTTAGGCTATCCGGTATTTTACATGCAATTGACAAAGGCCTGCTTTCTTTTCATAAAAGGTTCCTTTCAAAGTTTGTTCAACCATTACATTAAGCAAGAGACTTGGTCATTGAAAACTGTAGTTTGTTGTGACAGTCTTTTTGAAAACTTTTGAAACTAGTGGGAACTATTCATTTTACTGGATTTAGTCACTGAGGTCTATTTTCTGGAATGAAACTTTCTCGCTGCAACTATAAACTGCATTTATAAACACCTTGAGTGGCCTTTTTGGGCCTTGTGTTTGGCGACTTCAATTTAAAAAAAAAAAAAATTTTCATGTACAACCTGTTACACTTCAAATAAACAAGATTTGATAGCATAGTATCACTCAACTTTGCTCTATGTGGCCTCATAATTATTCCTCCATGACTGAATACACGTTCGATGGGGGAGCTAGTAGCAGGAATAGACAGCACCCTCATAGCAAGAGGAAAGAGTCTGGGGAGGCTGTTCTTATTTACCAACCAGAAGTGCAGGCAGGTATTACGCAACGTAACAGCTCAGCTCACTGATATGATCTACAGCTGCAGCTGGGCGAAGTAGAAACCGCGCAAGCCAAAGTCCGTTTTTTAATGCACGTAAGGCGTAAACCGAATAGCTAATTAAAAGTATAATAGCTTAATTAAAGTGTATTGGATCGCTCGAGTAGCGTCTGATTTGGGTTGGTAACAAGTCATTTTTTGCAATCCCAAGTCAAGTCACAAGTCATTGTTTGCAAGTCCAAGTCAAGTCACAAGTCAAAGCTGGTATTTACAAGTCAAGTCACAAGTCACAAAAATAGCGACTCGAGTCCGACTCGAGTCCAAGTCACATGACTCGAGTCAGCAACTCTGGCGAGTACCCCACAAGGTAGCTCTCATATTACAAGTGTATACACCTTTTGCACTTGTCAAAATGTCCAAAGTGGGGACACTGTTGCTCTTTTAATAGTGGTTTGTAATTTCAGTGGAATAGCCCAACGTCCAGTGTAGGAACAGGTCTTTCCGTCAACCATTCTGAAATTTGAAATTCTGACAAGCTACTCTTTTGATATATCAATAAGTCATGGTAAACATTTTTTAAATATCACCTACTTTGCAAGCTGAACAACTTTGCTATCCCACTCTCTACACTTTTCCTCTAATCCCTCTTCCTCTCTATGCAGTACAACTGCTCTAGCTTCCATGGCTGAAAGTTCAGTAGTTAGTCGCTCCTTTTCAGGTCGTTGTAGATTAAGCTGCTTTTGGATTCGTTCCACCTGAGCGTGCTTCTCCTTGCAAGATACTTGCAGCGTTTCCAACTCAGCCTTTTCCTGAAAATACAATTGATATAAAAACTTTAAATAAGTTTACTTTTTGCACCACTGTGAATGTAGAGGGGGGAGGAGTACATTCAGTGTAAATCTGGTTGCACTGATGCCACAAGTGTTTGACATTTGCTCTGGATCATTCCTGTGCATACCCACCCTGACCTGGAACTGGCCTACCGTGCCACAGGCCAGTCATGCCAGCCAGCCACAAGATTCAAGACTGGCATGGGCACCGCCAGGATTTTTTTAGAAGGGGTCAAAACATATTTTCACAAAAAATTCCTGTATTTCTCAACATATTCTCGATTAATCAGTTTTAGAGGGGGCAGGGACATTTTGCCCCCCCCCCCAACCCATTAAATTGACACCAATATGACTTTGTGCCTCTTTTTCTTTTCTTGTTCTCTTTTTTTCCCTTCCTTCTGTTTTTGCTTTTCGGGGGGGCAAACGCCCCCCCTTGCACCCCCCCTCGCGACACCAATGAAGACTGGTGTTTTCAGGGGAAAGGCTCTTATTGTGATGACAATCATGCAGGTTTAGTCATTACAATCAGTGTGGATATAATGAGTTCATTGAGAAAATGAGGTAAAAGATACACGAACCCTTCTGGCAATTGTTGTACACAACACTGAATCATGCTGCAGAAATGAAATAAAGTTGCCATGTCCTTATTGCCATTATTTGTCTGTAAAAAAAATGGACTGTCTGCGGCAAACTCTTAGTGGCACACTTCATAGGGAATGGCCCTTATCGTCTTGTGCAAAGGCTCTTATACATCAGATAATGGTTTTTGAGTTTCGTTCGGCACTCAAGTATGATGGCAGAATTTCAGCTTGTTAGCCCTCTAGAAGTTGACCATCTCGCCTTCATAAAGGATTGTCAGAGAATTTGTAGGTGTTACTATGTCTGAAGGTATGATTGTATTATGTTCTTTATCAGACTTTGTTTTATTGCAAGCAGTAGGGTTAGGTGAGTCCGGTCTGTAGCATGATAGGGCCTTCAGGCAGTTTGCTATCAGAGAAAAGTGAAATTTACTGGTTTGCAAGAAATAAAAATTAGCATGTAACCTCAAGCAATGGGGGAAACAATCATAAATATGGCGCTTGTGTGCAATTGATGAATAAATTAGGTTTACATTCCCTTAATGCCACCAATTCATTTGCAGCAGCTATTATAAGAGGCAGTAATTAGCTTGTGGAATTTCAGATATCATGGAGGAGAAAGGAATAATTGTTAGTAGCTATATGACCTACTGTAGTATTGCACATAATTGGTGTTAGTATGCATCGTACACATTCATTAACAGAGACAGATAACAATTTCATCAGTTAATTTGTGAACATATGTATCTCACGATATGCTCTGAACAAATTTGTGTACAAGAGATATGTTTGTGTGCAAGAGAGATGGCAAAGAGGCATTGAGTAGATCAACAGTTCCATGACAATGAGCAAACACGTAGCAAACATATGCAAATCTATCAACTACCACAACAGGAACATATCCAAGATTCGTAAATACATAGACACAAACACATGCCACGCCGCTGTCCGAGCACTTGTACTATCCAGACTCGATTATTGCAACTCTCTTCTCAATGGTATTAATCAGTATGAGGTTGATCGACTCCAACGGCTTCAAAACAATGCCGCTCGTATCACATTATCTCAATCCAAATACACACATGCCTCTCCACTAATTCAACAATTACATTGGTTACCAATTAGACAATGCATAAACTTCAAAACAGCAGTTTTCATGCACAAAGCACTTCATAACACAATGCCGCAGTACATAATGGGATCACTCAACCTTAATGCACCCAGCTGTAGTGGCCTCCGCTCCAGTAACAACCTTAGAGTTCCACGCACATTCAAAAAAACGAGACAGGGCCTTCTCAGTGTCTGGTCCCCGGTGTTGGAATTTCTTGTCACACAACATCCGCAACATCAGTTCTCTTGACAACTTTAAGGGCAGACTGAAAACTGATCTGTTCTCTCCACATAATCTGTAACTTGTCTTCTGGAGTTGTCCTTAGTCGTGCATTGATACTTGCGAACATGCGCGCTATAAATCGTGTTATTATTATTATTATCATTGTAGAATCGCGTTAGAACTGCGTCAACGCAGCTTGTGAAATATTGTCCAATTATGCATTATACAAACGCGCAAAATCTGAGACAAACAAAATGTAGTGTACAAAAACTACATAGGGTTGTCTAAGGGCCGTTGCTAACTCGCAAACGGCGATAGGTCAATTAAGTCAGCCCCTTAAAATTGTTTTGTCTGATAAGCACATAATGTGCAGTGGACTCTGGCACATATAGCCTTTGTTGAGGTACTTGGTTGGTATGGAGCATTTCTAACATTTGTGTATAGTCATGTGGCATATGGTCGGAATCGTGACCGACTGGTCCAAAGCACCAAACTTGGCAGATAGATTCTTATAGACCTAGAGAAGATATTTAGAAGGGGTGATACCTGAAATTCTTTTGGGAAGGGTGCCTAATTTGCATAAATCGTTAATCCCTGCCGTGTAATATATTTATTCCCATATTTGGGTGTATTTTTGTTTTGTTTTGAAAAGTGTATTTTGGTGATTCTACTTGCATATTCTTACTTCAATAACAGTTTGTAAAGCATATAAGTGACTGAATAATTAGGAGGACATAGTAAAGAACCAAAATTGCTACTATTTGACCCTAAAGTTATGCGCATTTACCTTATCTCCAGATATCATCAACTAGTCTCGCCAAACGTGGGTATTGATGAGCTTCAAATTCACAAAGATACTTAATGGCATAGTTACCCTAGCAAAAATAAGTGGTAAATCAAGTGAAAATTGATATTATCTTGATGTTTAGCCCAAAAGACCAAAAAAGGGGAGAAAATGTGGTGTCCGTAAATTGGGCTAGTATGGGAAGGGTAACGTGGGGACTTGAACAAGTTCAACAAAATCCCCCTAAATAAGAGATTATTGTTGTTTACAATAATTTTGTCTACGCCAAAACATTTTCTCAACAATAATTTTGGGAATTTCCTTGAACTTGTTCCAGTGTTCCATGTTAGGCAACCCTTCACCTACTTGTTAGCCTAATTTATGGACACCTCGTTTTTTTCCCAGTTTTTGTTTTCTGGGCTTAATATCACAATTTTATCATTGTTCACATGATTTTGCATCAGGTTTTAATGGGTCACTGGTACCAGTAAGCTACTTGGTGAATTTGAAGTTCATCAATGCTGATGTTTGGCAAGACTAATTGATGATATCTGGAGACAAGGTAAATGCGCGCAACTTTAGGGCATAATAGTAGCCATTTTGGATCGTTACTATGTCCTCATAATTATTCAGTCACTTATATGCTTTGGGAAATGTTATTTAAGTAAAGATATGTAAGTAGAATCCCCAAAATACACTTTTCAAAAAAATAAAAAAATAGAAATATACCCAAATATGGGAATAAATATATTACACGACAGGGATTAACAATTTATGCAAATTAGGCACCCTTCCCAAAAGAATTTCAGGTGTCACCCCTTCTAAATATCTTCTCTAGGTCTATAAGAATCTATCTGCTAAGTTTGGTGCTTTGGACCAGTCGGTCACGATCTTGACGAAAATTAGATCTAAGCCACCTGACTAGTAGCAAGCGACTGATACCCCATGGTGGTTCATTTATCACACTTTGGAGGTGGGGCTCATAACGTACTTTAAATGGGGGTGCTGTTGTGATCCGACAATTATTAACACTATATTACAGAATAGTGTACAAATACTCCCTAAACAAGCTGGCTCTGTCCGTAGTTTGTACCAAATTTTCATTACTGTGAAGGGGAGGAGCCCCATGCTTACTTGTTCTCTGCTGTGGAGGAAAAGTGGCCTGCACTCATTGTTCTTTGCTTTGAAAGGAAAGTGCCACACATCAAACTTCTTTATTGTGAAGAGGAAGTGCCCCCTACTTCATTCTGTGTTTACAAACACAAAAGCCCCGCAACCGTGACTGTTCCCATGACATGACACCACTCTTTTAACATCACCTTACATGTACCTGGGTCACAATCACATGGAACGTTATTTGTTTATTTATTATTTTCTGTAGGTTATACAGTCATTTTCCTAGTTCAGGAGAGCAAACATCATTCAGGCTGCTTTCGGCTCAACTACTCCACGAATTCAAGTGGCATTGGTTAAAAAGTTTACCTTGAGTGATGGAGATACTACAAAATTAATTTTCCAACTTTAAGCTCTTTTTATTTTGACTTTCTAACGATGTCAAAAGTACCACGTCAAAAGATGCTACTTTTCCTAGTTCCAGATCGGTTTAATCAGTTCCGAATCAATCAAAAGCTTCTTCGCTCGAAAAAAAAAAAAAATCACGCGAGAAATCAATTTTATGGCCAGAACCACCCTGAATCAAGCACATTTTCTGATAAAGTATTATTTAATTTTCCGAAAATAGTTCATCCAAGAGAATTCGAGCAAATTTGAAAAAGAGAAAAAACGTAAATGATTTGGAAACTTTTGCCTGCAGCGCAATGGCACGAACCCACCCACGGACCGAAAAACCTTTGACCCAGCACAGAATACGTCACACAAAATTGATTAATGCGCGTGCAGTTGGGTCATATTAAAGTACACGTGCGATCCGGAACTGAGCAAAAACATACAGTCATTCGTTGGCGAATTTTCAAATATTAGAGACTCTACAACTTATTTTGATTCAACAAACATTCCATGGAAGATTTTATACAACTGTAGTGTATGAACAAAATATTTGAAATCACATGGTAAGAGTGATGTACCGAGGAGAAAATTTATCGTCGTTTCGCAGCTCTCATAATTTTCTACAAACATGTCAAAGTGAGTGTCCAAAATTTTGTCAGCCGGCTGCAGCCCCCCTGACAGCAGTTGGTGAACATATCCACCCAAGGACATAGCATCTCTGTGGACAATGTTAAGATCATCGCCAGGGAGGACGACCTCTGGAAACGCAAAATCCGCG